CAATGGACCAATTGTTTCCTTGACTTTTTTCTTGCTTTTAACATGTTAAAAGAAGCTTTTTTTTGTTATTTTTTTACTTTTGTCACAAGCCTTTCTTCATTGTGAGCCTTAGCTTTCCTCACTTCATCTTTACAGGCTCAGGCTATTTGCTGATATTCTGCCTTAGTTATGTCCCACTCTTTCCACTTCTTATGCTTATCTTTTTTGTCTTTCAATTTGTCAGAGAGTTTTTTATGCAGCCATGCTGGTTTCTTTGGGGAGCTGTTATTTTTCTTCTTCATTGGTATTGTGCAGAAATGTTCTGTATCAATTAATTCCTTGTCCCTGCTGTTCAGTTTAAATGTTTATCCAGAAAATCTGTGAATTTAATGCCAAGTAACTCATTCCCTTTCTTGGAATGGTGCAAACCATCTCTTTTGCACAGTTTTTCATTGGACCAGCTGCAGGCATCATGACTAATAAAACCAAAGCCTTCCCCTTTAAACCACTCCTTTAGCCACACATTGAACTCTGCTACATGCTGGCCCTTCCCTTTTTGTTCCTTATATACTGGTAAAACCTCTGAAAAGATAAGCCTACAACCTATACTACTAAATTCATATCCCAAGCTCTGGAAATCATTCTTCATAGAAAGTACATTTTTGGGGGAAAGATCATTTGTGCCAAGATGTATAATAGCATCAACGTCACAGTCCTTACTTGCATTCTTGACTATCTTAAGAATACGCCTAATTTAATTAGCAGAAATTCAAAGTAGAAAAAAATCCATGCTGATCTTAGATTTATTAATGCAATTTGGTTTCTTTTTCATACAGTCTAGTCTGGTTCTTGGGTATGTACGAAATTTGTTTTTGAAACCATTTTTAACAGATTTTGGAAGCTTTTTTTAATTGTATAATCATAGATTATAAATTACAATATTTGGTTCATATATTAACCTTGAACAAAATCCAACCATTAAATGATTGTTTCTTGAAAATAGAGAGTTTTTTTATCATACGATAAATAAATATAGAGATTTGTTTATCATAGGATGTGGGGGAGAAATGGTTCATCCTCATCATTTTCATTAATATTATATAAATTGAAGTTTTGATGGTATATCAGAAATGATTTGTTAAAAAGCTTTTCACTGGACTGGGATCCTAAGAATCTTTCAATTTCTAAGTGGCTTACAAATATAATTGAAGGCTATTTTCAAATAAATTTCTAGATTATGTATATGAAAATAATTCCTTTAAAGAACTAATGCTGCAATCCAAGTATTAATGTCTGAGCAAGATTTACATTTGAACATATGCCTGAGATTATATTGTAGAGAATCAGTTTGATGTTGTGGTTAAGGCATCAGGTAGGAGACTTGCATTCTAGTCCTTAGGCACAAAGTTAATTAGGTGACTTTGGATAAGTCACTTTCTGTCAGTTCTAGGAAGCAGGCAATGACAAAACACTTCTGAAAAACCTTGCCAAGAAAACTACAGGGACTTACCAAGCAGTCAGCAGGAGTCAAGGTTGACTTGAAGGCACATGGACATAAAAAAAGGATTATACTGTACATTAATATTTTTTAAATCAGCACTATATCGATTATGATATCTGGCTGACTAAAATGCAATTTGTGTTAAAGGGTCTTCGACCTGAACTGAGGAGAATCTATTTCTAAATTCCACTCCACAATTTATTGGGTAACAATAGGCCAGTTTTTCTTACTCAACCCAATCGCCTTTACAGAATTATATTTCTGAAAATGAAATAAGAGACCACTAACATATGCCATGTAGGATATTCAAAAGAAAAGTAGGAGAAAAATAATAATTGGCATATAAATAACATTATACGCTTCCAAATATGTAATACATACCTTTCTAATTTTTCAGAGAGATTATCAGCAGAATCTGAAGCAGGGATTTGATAAATATCTGATAATTCCAGACGTTGTCTATAGCCCTTTTGCAAAATAGGCTTTGTCCATCTGCAAAATAATACAAGTGTTTTAAAATCAATCTACACATTTATATAACATATGACATAAGTTGGTTTTTAGTTTTCTTTTTTTTTATAGCTTTTCCTAGCCCTCCAGTATCACATGATGATTGCACAATCATGCATGTTGGTGTAATAAATAAATAAATATTAAGATGCAGAACAAATCTGCATAATTTGTTGCAAGTCCTCAAGGGGCGCCTATGGATTACTGATGTTATATAGATTTGAAAACATAGTTTTCAAATCCAGTGAATGTTTAAATCTGTGAAATTTGAGAAAAAAAGAAACTTAATATAGCACTGAATGCATCCAAGATCCTAAATATATCTGTAAGTATTATTTGGATCATTACCTCTTGAATATCCATTACATAAAATTTGTCCTTTTTAAAATCACTCCTCATAAAGTTTTCAGGACTTCTTCAGACTTCTCTTGTGAATCCAGAAAGCAAAAGTTATTCAAATATTTTTTTCTGGTTTAAAAACTGTACATTTCTTTAAGCAGTGAAACGTCCATCAGTTCTGTTTGTATATGTAGAATATATTTCTCCATATTCTCTTTAATTCACACATTTAAGTCCACATTCCACATTCCAATTAATTTCACACTTATCAATTGTAGTTTGTTCATTTTCTGTAACTTCATTGACACAAGATCTAGATATCAAGTAATTTTGAAGATCAAAATTCAGAAACATCAATCAAAGATTTTTGCTCCAATCTTTCTTAATGAAATACATTATCATCTATCTTCCTATAGTGTCAAACCTTCAAGGTCCCACTATCATGTTTCTTCTTTTTTTAAAAACCAAATAATCACCATTTTCCACAGGAAAAATTAATTCAACTCTATAACTGCAAGTCCATATGAATCCTTAGTCCATTGTTAACTTTCTAAAAACCATATTCCATTTATGCTTTCAATATTTAATCCAAAAATATTATTTTCCAGAACTTTAAAAATGTTAACTACAACTATTTTTCAAAGAGAAAGACAAATCACTTGATGATTATAATAAATTTGCCAATCCAAAGAATCTTAATAATTCCAAAACAGAAAAAACGCTCCAGAAACTGATTAAGAAATGAAGTTCATCTGTGCTTTATGTCTTTAAAAAGCAGTGTTACAAGTGTGAATTTGGTGGTGGCTCTTGACTCCCAGCCAACCACAAAACAGCAAATTCCTATGGTCTAGCTGTTTGGAGCCATATAGATTATCTCAATGATCTCTCCTTCCTCCAGAGATATTTTGCCACTCTGGACCAAGCATTAGCTGTAGTTTTCCTAGGAAGTGCAGTCCCAATGCCAACAGATCACCATAGCACTCACCAGAATTTGCTCAACAACCCCGATAATTTGCAAGGCCTAATATGTTGGTTAAGCATTTAGGAAATGAAATTAATTTAATTTATCAATTAAATTATCACAAAAAAGAGCATTACAGACATGGTTTAAAAAAACTATTTAGTATCTTGTATTCGGATACTATATGACAGAGTCAGTTTGTGCTACTGGCTAAGGTACCAAGGTAGAAACCAGAAGACTATGAGTTCTCGAACCAACCTTAGGTACGAAAGCTATCTTGGTTCCATTAGCCAACCTATGTTGTCAGGCTCAGGCAACAAGGCAATTGCAGTTTTTATTAATTATTAATAAATTAATTAATTAATCAACAGCTAAAATTATATTTATTTATCTGTTACATACAAGAGGTCTTTCTGAATCAAGCAGTTTCCTAATATGCCAAATGCTATATTGGCTGGGAAATCTGTGACTTGCAATCCTTAGCAAGGGTTGGACAGTACAGTGTTGAGAAAGCTTGCCAGAAAAACAATCCAAAATATGGAAGCTTCTGAAAAGAACTAAAAACATGCATCAGTACCTCCTCTTCATAAATGCAATTTTATCTTTCAGATAAGAAAACCCTGAACATTTATTTCATTTCCATTGATAAGAAAAAGATAAAGAAGTAATGCAAAACAGAAATGTTCCAGTGTAGTACACGTCCTGAATAATTCTGATTTTACTCATATGACTAAAACATTTCAACAGTTTTTAGAATGATTATAAATCATCCCAGCCTATTTCATATCATATTTGGGGAAAATGTTTCTAATAAGCCCTATATGCTTATTTAATTTTATTTAAAATCTGATTAGCATTTTCCCAATATTAAAGAAAAAAGATGAGGTGACTCTTGTATCATTCTAGGAAAACACCATGTGAATCTCAAAGATTGCTCTTTGAATCAAGAGGGTGTTCTATTTTAATACAATAATAGAATAGCAGAGTTGGAAGGGACCTTGGAGGTCTTCTAGTCCAACCCTCTGCCTAGGCAGGAAACCCTATACCTGTCAGCCTCTGCTTTTCTGCTGCTTCGGCTGCCATTGAAACGGGGAGGGGGCATGGTATTTGGGAGGGGACTGATTGTTGTGCTGGAGGAAGATTCTGGAGTTTCTACTGCCCGTCTTACTGCGCATGCGGAGGAGGTTTCCCGCCAAGGCCAACGGCACTGACATTCCATCTTGCTGATGCCTTTCGAAGTTATCTTGCACCTGACACTTGGGAGAATTATGATTGGACTGTGCATGGGATGCCAAGGAGTGGGGAATGGGTTATACAATATATCCTTTGCTTTCGCGCCTAAATAATCAGACTTCGCTTTGCTACGCTTCTGTTCATTTATAATTAGTAAAAGTACACTTGATTTCTATCAATGGAGTCTTGTGGTTTTCTTTCCTGATTATCCAATGAAGAGGTGCTGACAATACTGTTTCAGACAAATGGCTATCCAACATCTTCTTAAAGATTTCTTTCATCTTATACTTCTTATTTTATCTTATACTTCTTTTATACAGCTACAATGAAGAAAATAATATATAAATAATATGTCTTCATGCATGCCTAATCAACAAAAGTTACACTGGAATACACACACACAGAGAGGGGGGGAGGGAGGGCACACCTAGTTCATTTTCAACTTTAAAGAGGACATTGGCATGGACTTATTCTTGAACAAAATTGTACTCAACTAAAGAAAAATAATGCTGCACAGTTTTTTATATGAGCACATTTATGTTTATCTAGCCATCCAAGTCATATTATTTGCAGATAAAGTATATAGCTTATTGCTGAAATAAAACTTGGTAGATAAACATAGTCCATTGTTTAAACTGATCTTAGGTACAAGCAAACATTTGCTGCTACTACTGCTGCTGCTATAACTCCATGTAGTAATAGGAAACAATTCATTCTTACTTTATTGGGAATGGATTAAGAGTTTGAAGTTAGCTACCATTTGTACATTAAATAGTTTTACCTTCTATTTCTTTCTTTGTTGCCACAATATGTAATATTTTGGCAAGGATAAACTTTCCCAATAGTAATATTTTTATATGCCAAAGTACGTTCTAAGATGCATGTGATTATATCAATATAAGGTAGATTCTTGCACATCTTGTAATTCATGTTCTTGATTTCACTCCTGATGAAAAATTGTTTTTGCTATTCAGATTCATTGTCTAATAGAATGACAATTAATCATTACTGGTACAGCACTAAATGGGATAGTATTCTAAGTTGGACATTTTATTTTGCAACTATAACATTCCAAAAATATGCACTGTTTTACCCTGCTGATCAGTGGAAACCAATGGAAAAGATGAGATTGAGACAATACTTTGAAGTCCCCAAAGTGTTGGGGAGGATTCAAATTCAAGCTACTGTAATTGTCCAGGTTTTCCAGTATTTCAACACTAATGCTTCTACCTATCAATCTATCACTTTATGGAAATCCAGTCCAGTACATATTCCTATTTACATGAGCTGATCATGTAATGGTTATTTATCAAATTTTGCTACTGCCCATCTCACACACAAAGAACATATTTCCCTATTGGAATACACTAGCACATTGCAACACTATTTCTGGGCTACCAGAATTCTACAAATAATTTTGAAATGTCTCCTTGGCACCTTGGCTTCAAATTATTTGAGTTTGGCTGGTAGGAAAATTTAAAACCATGGCTGCTCAATAACTTTCCATTTGCAATAGCCACTGTAGTAAGTTTGGCAACCTACATTATTACCTATAACAAGCAGTTAGACATCTGCTCAAATTTCATGAAGGCATATGGATTTTCCATATGTTCTCAGTCTTCGTTATGACTTGAACCCTAATCCTAACCCAACCCTACTTCAGTGGGGCAACAAAGGCTAAAGATCTCATTCCTACTAAAGTTCTCATTCCCTCATGCAAGGCTTTATGTACATCCTCCATTCAGAAAATTCTGGGCTGGTAAATAAGCATATAAGCTCTTAAGTGAGTCTCAATCTTTAACCAGAATAGCCTTTTCAGTAGGTAAAACTAGACACAGAGTGATATAATTAAATTCGATTGTCTAAAAATTGGTAGAGCACATCAAAGCACAGAGAGTAAAGGCATCTTGGAACTCTCAGATTTATTATTCCAAAAATTATTCCAAAAGCCCAGACAAGATAGTGCAACTCTGACTTTATTCTACTCATAATAATTTCTTATTTCAAACACAAAGAATTATAGGTAGTCCTCAACTTACAAATAGTTCATCTGAAGTTACATCACTGGAAAAATCCATTTTTGAACCTTAAACAAAAATTGAACCCTTCAGTACAGAGTATACTATCTTAACAACAGCACTTAAGAAGTATATTTGTTTTTATAAAACTTTACAAACAAAAGGGTTATTAGTGTTTAAAGGACATCAACATTCCTCATTCTTGGAAATAAATGTCAAACAGAATGTAAAAACAATAGAATAAAAAAGGGTATCTTATTGTCAAAATTTGTGTTTTGTGCAATATTCTGGATCTACATTTTGCTTGAAAATGAAGTAGACAGGAAAGAAATACAGGTAGTTTCCTTGACTTACAACTACAGTTGAGCCCAAAATTTCTGTTCTTAAGTGAAACATTTGTTAAGTGTGTTTTGCCCCATTTTATGACCTTT